GAAACCTTGAAAGCTCGCGAGATCAGGGTGGTCTCACGAGGCAAATTGTATGATGCAAACGCACATGTATGGTGCTAGTCAAATTGAGAGTACCGCCATTAAAAAAGAACTACAAAAAACACCAAATGACTAAAGCTCTTCATTATTTAAACCAAAGCACATGAAATTGCATAGATTTGCATATGTAACAATTGGGCCATGAACTTACTGGCAATAAAAGGCGCTGCCCTTTATAATTTTTTTTCCTTTTCTTCTTCTGTTCTTCCTATTCTGTTCTATTTACACTGCTGTCTCCATATAATCTGTAAAACTCCCTGCATAATTATAATAAAGCAATTTATATGCATAAAACAAGTGGAACAATAGGGCCATACTGCTCCTCTTGTGAAAGTAAAATCTGTTGGACTCTTTTTGGCATCAAGACAATTATTCTTATTGCCACATTGCCAGACAGGACACTGTAAAAAATATATATAATAAGAAAAACAAAAGAAAGGGATCCCAATAGGTCAGAGGAAGAAAAAAAAACATATTTCATACTTTATACTTAGCAGGATATAGTTTGAGACTACAAAAACCCCCAGCATTTAGCAAATACAGATAACATGACATCTTGCAGGCAGACTAACATTTGAGAAGGATGGTGCGTATATCTTATCTGAGCATCACTGTGCATGTTTGGTTACTGAGGCGGTATGGTAATATGAAAAAATTGGCAATTTTTCAAGTTTTACTTGATGCCACAGCTGTCCTTTTTCAACCACCAGTGAATGCATGAGCCAAACCAGAAGTCAGATGTTGTGATGTAATAACTTCCTGTGTATTTCAGGATAAAACATATTTTTCTCTTTTTTTTACTGTTGTCTAACATGTTTTTGTGCTTACCTGTTATAGAAAAGCTAAAACACACAAAAAAAACTTTACTTATTAGGCTCTTGGTATTAAACTTTGCATTAAACTTATGTGAACTCTTGGGAAGGGTGCAACTGGCCACTGTTTCCCTTGCAGCGCTCAGGACTGTACCCAAACTAGGAGAAGATGTGAGCCTGGCATTTTTCTGCCGGTTCTGGTGAGAAGCACTGTTTAAAATGTTTCTGTTTGGTTCTGTATAGGACCCACTGGTGTCGGCTTGGATGAACTCAAGAAGAAACTGTTGATCTCTGACCCTCAGCACTTCGGTTTCACCATCCCACGTAAGTTCCTTACAGTCGTCTCTCTGAAGCTGCTCCGAATGTTGTCTGAGTGAGAGTCTGAGACAACTCGCAGTGTTAGCTCAGCTGATTCTTCATCAGCTCACATGCTGTGTAAGTGTGTTTTTGCATTAAACATAAGTAAAGTCTAGTTTCTATCTATCGAAAATGTTCTTCTCGACCTTCACTATTAAAGAAAGTAAAGTAAGGACTTACTCAGTGACATTAAGCAGATCTCCAGTCTCTTCTCTGACTGGTGGAGCTCTGATATTCCTGCTAAAGCAGAGACATATGTTGCAAGTCAGTGATTCCCAACAGGGGGTATGTGTACCCCTAGTGGTCCGGTAGTGCATTGCAAGGGGCACATAAAAATATTTTATTTCTCAGGTAATGAAATCTGTTCTACTTTGTGAGGACAACATTGAAAACTAAAACTAAAGCTTTTTTCATCCAAATAGTAACTTATTCCTAAATGTTTGAGTTCATTTTAGGCTTTGAAACCAAGCAGAGTAACAGATTGGATCAGCTGCTGATGAAGATTCTCAGTCATCCAGGTCATAGTCATTCCGTAAAAGTTCAAAAAATCCACTGGACTTGGTTTCCAAAGTTTGAAGACGTTTCGCCACCTCTCCAGGAAGCTTTCTCAATTCAAAGTTGAGTCAACTTACTGCGGATCCAGACATTTGAATTGAGAAAGCTTCCTGGAGAGGTGGCGAAACGTCTTCAAACTTTGGAAACCAAGTCCAGTGGATTTTTTGAACTTTTACGGAATTGGATCAGATGTTTTTCCACACCTGATTAAAGCCAGCTCAGGTGTCACGAATGATGAAAACAAAGTAAATTAAAGAGTCAGTCTGACTATAATTTTTCTTCCCGATTCACCAAGTTTATGTGATTATCGGGGAGGAGCAGCAGCTTTATAAACAGGTTTATAACATGATTTTTTTAGTATTATTTAAATTCCTTACTAACTTCCAAGCAACATATTTCTGTTTTTTTTTTTAACTTGAGTTTGAAAAAATAAAATGCCTAAGAATTAACTGCTCAAATTAAAACAGTAAATAAAACACTCTGTATTTTATAATCAGTTATTGTACGTGCAACTTTTGGACAATATCAATACTTTTGACTGAGAAGGGTACTCATTGTAAGACAAAATGCCCAAAGGGTTGCATAAGTCAAAAAATAGGTTGGAAAACACCGATGTAAGTGACACAGCTTGTTCTTGAGAGCCGGTGTTCCGTCAGATCAGCATACCTATAATAATAATAATCAATCCAATTTATACCGCGCTTTTCATTAACAAAAATCTCAAAGTGCTAAACAGTGCAAATAAAATCAAAGATAAAAATCAACATCATAAAAATCATGTGGAGGCAGAATAGGCTTGCTTAAATAAAAAAGTCTTCAAGCCTCTTTTAAAATCAATCAGTGGTTGTGGAGCTCTCAAATGATCTGGGAGAGAGTTCCAGAGACGGGGGGGCAGCGACAGCGAAAGCCCAATCTCCCATGGACCTTAATCTGGAGCGAGGAAGGTGAAGGAAGTTGCAGTCTTGTGATCGTAGAGATCTGGTCTATAGTCAATATGCATGCACTAGACCTCAAATTTGTGTTATCCCTTTAGTTTTGTACGAAAAATAGACTTTAAAGTACCTTGACGGGTGTGTATCCCTTTAGTCATTTACAAAAAAATATATATTTAAGTTCAGATTGCCATACGCTTCAAAAGACACCAAAAAGTAAGTAATTAAATTGTTTTTATTTGTACATGACTAAAGGGATACATGCACGTTGAGGTAGTTTAAAGTGTATTTATTTGTACAAAACTAAAGGGATAAACTAAAGGGATAAACTAAAGGGATAAACTAAAGGGATAAACAGGTATTGACTATGGGTATGCTGGTCAGGGTTGTAAACTTCTGACATGCTGAAAGGAGACGTGCTTCTCCCACCACCCGTTTTACAACGAGGCGTTCAGGTTGGGCTTTTATAGAGCTTGGCATCGTTCTATAATTATGAGGTTCAGGCAGGTTCAACTCCTCTCTGTCTCTATCTCTCTCTCTCAGATACCACTCGGCCCAAGAGGAACCAGGAGAGCGATGGTGTGGAGTACCACTTTATCTCCAAACATCTCTTTGAGACGGACATCCACAACAACAAGTATGTAGACCTGTGAAGGGCTCAAAGAAAAATACGTATTATGATGAAGAAGAAAACTCACTGCTGAACTTAAACCGTTTTCTACTGATTAGACTTTAAGTTCCAGAAGCTGCAGAAACTCTGTACATCATTATTGATTGATGAGTTTAAAAAAAGGACCAACCAGCTGGAAAGATCAACCTCTGAAAAGTCTGAAATGTTTTCTATCCATTTCTTTTTCATCTGGAAGCCCATCTTTGGTGATTTTACTAACCTTCAGCGGTTATCAAAGCTGCTGCAAATAAGCGAGTCTCAGATATTTAGGTTCACCTTTTATCAGGCTCCTCTCCTGTGGAACCAACTACCAGTTTTAGACCGTTAGGCAGACATCCTGTTCACGGGTCTAAAGGTAGACGTAAGACTTTCCTTTTTAATAAAGCTTATAGTTAGAGCTGCTCAGGTTATCCTGAGTTATCTCTATAGTTATGCTGATATAGGCTTAGACTGCTGGAGGACATAGGAACTTCTTTTCATCATTTTGCTTCATTCTATCTCTATTCTCCCACTCTGCAGAATCTGTTAGTTCAATCTCTAACGTTCTGCTCTCTCTGCTTTTTCTCATAGTAGCTTCATCTGGTCTGTTTTTGTTAGGCTGTGACTTTATCCTGGAGAGAAATATCAGCTGTGCTGCTGCCATCAACACCTTTGTTTATATTATGAGCTTGGCCTGTTTCTCTGACTGTGACTAACTGTATGTGCTCTTTTTCATTCTCTGACATGGGAGCTTTGTGTTTGCTGGATGGGGCCGCTTGTGGAGCTGGTAGACAGTTATGTTTTGTACCTCTGCTTCTTTCTGTATGTCTGCTTCTGTCTCCTTGAACCCTAGCACATTGAGCCTGGTTTTGCTGGAGGTTTCTTCCTGTTAAAAGGGAGTTTTTCCTCTCCACTGTCGCTACAAGCATACGTAGTGTGAAGGGTTGCCTTCGAGTCAATGAGTAAATGCAGTCAACTGGTTTTTCTTAAATAGGAAACCTTGAATTAATTCACTGGATGATCTGGTGAACTGTAAAGTGCATTGGGATGACTGTGATATATATATAAAAAAAATAAATTGAATTGAAGAGCCTAAACTCCATCAGAGAGGTGATTCCTTTCCTGTCCACTAGAAGCAGAGTTCAACAGGGACAGCAGCAGTCTGGTGTCTCCAGTGTTTGTTGCCTCATTTTAGCCAGCAGCGCCCTGCTGTCATCTGTCTCTGTACCTCGGTATGAGCAGCTGATGACCGGGCCGGGCCCTGTGCTGGTCCCTGATCTCCAGACAGTCGCCCCCAGGTCTCCGCCCGTGCTTCCTCCTCTCTGAAACCGGCCTCTGTGGTCTGCTTCCACATTTGTGGCCAACAAATTAAAAACAAGTTGTAACGCTTAGAGGGATGATGGATGCCTTTCTGCTGCTCTCACACGAGCTGGAGGGGAGAAGAAGAAGTCACCCTGCAGGTTGGACACGCAGGATGTTTCTGCACACAAACAAACTCAGTTCGATCAAGTGTTTGACACACAGAGAGTGCAAAGAAAGTCCCAGCATGTTGAGAGCAGGAGGACGGGGTGGTGGCGCTGTTGGGGGAGGTGTTATATTTAGGACATGTTGCGGTGGAGGTCAAGGCATGCAATGTTTTTCACCGAGTCGGAGGGATGAGTGACAGAGCTGTGATGTGGGCTGGACGAGTGGAAATGTCCACTGTAAAAATTACAGGCGGCTCAGTGAAGGAGAGGAGATGAACTTGTTTTTGTTCTGGCTCATTGCAGCAGCAGAAACTACGCTCTCAGCTCTGAAAAAACAGGCCACAACAACGTGTGTTCAGCTTCAGCTATTATGTCCAATGATCTAAGTCGTATTTCTACCCTACTACAATAAACCCCATAGATGCTCCAAGCTTTCAGCTTTTACAGGAATTTCCCCGAACTGGGATGTTAGTTAGAGACACAAACAGCTTTTAAAATCTGAGTATAAATTTCTTATTTCTCTCTCCCTCCTCAGGCTGGTGGAGTACGGTGTGTACAATGGGAATTATTACGGAACAAGTCTGGACTCTGTCCGCTCCGTCCTCTCCAAGAACAAAGTCTGTCTAATGGATGTCCAGCCTCATGTGAGTGACACTAAGCTCTCTGCTGCTTCCAGATGTCCCCCAACATCCTGACACCTTCACCTCCATGCATTTCAGCCCCTCTGTTTATGTCATAAGATCTCCTTCTCTGCACTTTTCCTGAAATGTTTCCAGTTTGTCCAGTGGATCTGGAAAAGTTGAAAAACCAACTAGACTAGTTCAAACTTCATTATTCTCTTTCTTGTTTTTTATTTGTTGTTCTAGACAATAAAGTTGCTGCGAACAGCTGAATTCAAACCCTTCGTTGTGTTTGTGAAACCTCCCCCAATTGAAAGACTGAGGGAAACGAGAAAGAACGCCAAATTTCTCCCAGGCAAGGATGACAAAGGATCTGCCAGACCTTTCACGGTGAGAGACCCAAAACCTTTGGAGAGTTACTATGTCCTTCTGTTGTACTTCTGAGTAACAAAAGCTCTTAAACTATGGATGTGGAGTAATTACCTAAGTGGCATTTAGCTGTTGCAAATCTGCAACATCTGCCTGGAGAGGGTTAACATTTGTATTCCAGAAGGTTATTCTCATGTATGTTATTGAAAATCCTTGGGCAAAATATCTAGATTTGTCTAAAGACATTGCTTCCTGAAAGCTTTTTTTTTTCGAATGGTTTAAGACTTAGCATTAGCACAATGGCCTAAAGTAGCAAATATGGTACAAACTGAAATGTTCATATTCAAGCTAAAAGCGACGCTGAAAGACCCTCAAACTTTAGTAGCACTCTGTGTTGTGTTGTTACCATAGGTGTTCAGTGTCTCCACCTTTATGCCTTTTTTTGTCTGAAAAAGAGCTGATTTTTATTAATCAACTTTTTCTTAGTGCGAAAATGGAGCCCAACAGGTTTACTTTCACGAATTAAGGCTTTCACTCTTTTAGACCATTTTATATATGTTTAAGTAAATGCATTTATTAGACATTATTTGGGGGATTTGGGGGAAAATAATTGGTAAAAGGAAAGGGAACGAGGTGAAGCAAAACGTTAAAAGGGAGTATCTGTCATTAACATTTTTTTCCTGCATTTTTCCTGCATGTAATGCTTTACATAGTTTTAAAATGGTGCTTTTACTGGAGTAAAAAGCTTAATTCAATACTCTTAACTTCTACAAAAGTAACAGTTGGATTTTTACCTCGATAATACTTAATAGTCGGTGTGAGGAGCCAAAGAACCCCTCTTCCTTTGTTCTTCTTTTCTTCATTAGTTTATTTGGTTCTGTTTCCATCTCTATCCATCCTGTTGAGCCTTTTTGCTGTAGAATATATAATTTTACCTGCAGCCCCAGATTCTTATTGTTGGATGAAAAAATGTCACAAACCAATCAGCACACAGATTTGTGGTCAGGTCTTCCGGTTTTGGGGGACAGCAGCCATCGGGACCAGAACTGATCCAACTATCAACATAACTTAAGTCTCTGTGGTTCTGTTCACTAAGTCGATTCACGGAAGACAGCAGGACAGAAACAGCAAGCAGGGCTTCAGCTGACTCTCACAGAGTTTTTATATTTAGCTGGAGCTAATCCATTATGAAGCAGAAAACCACCAGAGATATTCTGGAGTAACTTTTGGCTGAAGGAGGCGTCTCTAAAAATGGAGCTGGAAGCTTTTAGGAGCCTGTGTTTATGTGCATACAGGTTTAAAACTCCGCTCAGCTTGAATCCTCCAGGTTTGTTTTGGTGTTTGAGTTTCCCAGCATAAATCTGCATCTCTGTTTGTTTATAACTCTGTTTAGCAAAGTGGTTACTTATAAAACCGTATCTGTCCTCAAATGTAAAGCTGAATGTTTCAATAAAAACCAGAAGAGGCTATTGGGGGAGGCCAGAATCCACATGGCTAAAAGCAGAAAGCCTCAAAGGGACCAATGCAGAGGGAGATCTGGGCAGGTTCAGAACTCCTCTATGAATAGAGGAGCCCCAAGTAGGAAATATTTACCCCGAACCTGCTAAAAATATTCAGTAATGATGTTCCTCACAGGTAGAGCTGGTTTTATTCTTCACACCTGATGACTTATACTCTGATGGACTTGTTTGCAGACAAAGGTTCCTCTGTGCAGCCAGTTCGCCAAGCCCAAAATCAGCCCGCTCCACAAGCTGTCATCTCCCATCGCACACAGACTGCAGACTGACAGAAATGGAGACTTTTCCTGTCTCTAAATCAGAGCTGTATTTAGCTGTTTGCCTGTTTGAAGGATATTTCTGAAGATGATGGTTGTTTTAGTGGGTTGCATCTTGGTGTGTACTCCGTGGAGGGAATAATGGAAATTCCTTGAGGTTTCAGGGCATAATCTGTGGCAGGGTTCATGAGTGGGAACCATGTCTCAGGGAGGATATAACAGGCTCTGCACAGGCCTCTTTATGTATAATTGTGTCTTCAAAGCAGCGGCTTTAAGGCCTTGTTGTTCTAACACTCTAGCCTAACCCCTCCCCTCTGTCTTTACATGGGGTTATGGCTCAAACCAATCAGGGTTCTAAGATCTCTGGATGTAACGAGTTTTTCCCTGCTTAGAGCTTCTATGCAATCTATTTGGATGTGCCAGACAAGTCCAACAACCTCATAACCTGAAGGCGTCTATTTTCCGTAGCACCTAGATACAGATGCCACCTTTTATTTTGATCAGATAAGGTTTTATTGGCTAAAAAGCCCTAAGGGTGTTGTTTATAAAATATTGAAACCTTTAAAGAACTCCCAATAATTTGATGAATTGTGCATAACCATTAAAGAACTTGAAAGGATAGTTCAGGTTTTCTGACATGAAGTTGTGTGAACTGTTCACCATTTGTAGCTGAGATGCAAAGATGTCCATACCGTTACCGAGCCTCCTGCCATGAGAAACAGCTGGTAATGCACCGGAGAAAAGGTTAGTTCTGGTACGTTACGGCGGCACGTTAATCAATGGTTTCCAAGCTAAAAAAAAACTATGCATGTGTTTTGTCAGACTATGTCGACAATTTCAAAACATCCGGGTGGAATGTTATCTCTGCCGCAAACACTCTGCTGCATAGGTGCGGAAGAAAGTTCCAGAAACAGAAATAAATCAAACAGATCATTAACCGCCAAATAGTTGGAAAAAAAACTGTCTTCTACCTCTATCTTTACCAGCCGCTTCTAGTAGCAGGAGGCTCAGTGGTGGTAGGGACACTAAACTATCCCTTTAATAGAAAAGTTACTCAATAAATCCAGTGCCAATACATTTATTAAAATTTTATGATTCTTTAATTAGTATATTTTTAGAAGGGAAGGTGTAGACAGTATTATCGCAGTTGCATTATTTAGTGGTGACATCTGCAGAGCACACTGGCAGGGATGTATTAGCTGTTATGTTTGCAGGAGGTTCCAGAAGATGGTGGTTAATAAACGTTTGGAACAATACGATATCTCATCCTCAAGGGTAACCGATATCACCCTTCTGCCAGTAATTAAGGACAAAGCTAGTAGAGCTGGTAGCCTTAATAACGACACACCAATAGCTTTAGCTAGTTTGATATCTAAGGTATTAGAAAAAATCGTGCTTGGTTGCCTCAATGCATTTATTACTACAACAGATAATCAATTGTGTTTCAAAGCCAAGTCGGGAATTTCTATGGTCTGAAATAAGCAGCAAAAGCATATCTTAGAAAAAAATGAATCTCTGTTAATTAGGGGTGGAACGGTTCACAAAATCCACGGTTCGGTTCGATTCACAGTTTCATGGTCATGGTTTTTGGTTCAGTTCGATTCGATTCGGTATATGTTGATTGTTACACCGAAATCCCATAAAAATTTATGAAATTAATGAAAAAATCCCCCCAAAAATATTGGATTGTAATTATTTTAAATGATCCGCAGAAACCCTGGATCATTTCCGTATGTTTTGCTGCTTTGAATTTAATCATCTCGCGCATTTCCCTCTACGATCTCCAAGGAACTCAGAGCGGAGCAGACGGGAGCCACAGTGGAGGCTGTAGGCTTTGCTTTGAGCAGCCGGTCTGGAGCGCAGCGGGGCGGAGCGGGGGTTGCTGACGGAGTATGAGGGATTTCGGGGTTAGCATGACATGTTGCTGTTAGCATAAACAAAACGTGTTGCACGATGCTTGCAGACTGTTGCACTTTTATCCACAACTTTCTTTCCGCCGTCATCGTAGGTCACTCTAAATGCAAAGTGGTCCCATACAGCAGACCTATAAAGCGCTGCTGGCGCGTCTTCCAACTCCAGTTCTTTCCCACTCGCCATTCCGACACAGTTCTCCACAACAACTGATTTTTTTCCCTGCTACACCCGGCTACGCTGCTTCGCTTCTTCTTCTTCTTGTTAAGTACTGGTGGTTGGCTTTGGTCGCAGTACCGCCACCTTCTGCTCTGGAGTGTACAAGAAAAAGGAGCAGCGCATGAACCGAACGAAACACACGCGAATCGAACCGAACGGTTCTGACGGTTTTTCATAAATCGTCCCATCCCTAGTGTTAATTTGGTTTATTGATGCCTCTATGGCCTTAATTGTCACTCAGGGGTTGATGTTCGGGCAATTGACTTTCACATTTCATTTGCCCAGAAACAATTTTTACTTGCCCAGTATAATGTTTGATAAATACAGTTCCTGGTGTGTATATGCATGCGTCAGATAATGAACTCAAGCCTACATTACCGTGTTAACATGCTTTTCAAACTAAACTTTGCTTTAAACTGTTGTGTGCTTGGAAAAATATAAATTGTAATGTTAAAAATCTAAAGAAACTTGACAGGTCAAAAACTTACACTACTACTACTCACCAATTTAACATGTTTAGCTCTATAACATTTAAATGCACCACTCCAATGTCTAAGAGAAAAAAATTTATGAACATTTTTTAATGTATGACTTTATGGGGGAGCAGACACATTGGTACCGTGAATTCTCTCAATGAGGTTCCGCTTTTGACTGGCAGCGTGGTCCAGGGCGGTATCCTAACCACCACTTTCCCGTCTTTCTCGACTCCATCAAATGAGGTTTAGTCCCTCTGAGCTGACAGAATGGTTCAGCATCAACTCACACTTTAGGCAGGCTGGAACCACCTAGTGGGAAAGTTTGTGCACAACCATATATTCTTTTAATTAGCAGGATAACTTGTACTCTCTACTTCAGTGGCCTTGCATTTCATATGGTGGAGGGTAATTCCTCTAGAACTGTTTTCTTGTTTCATTTTATATGTAGAGTTGTTTTTTACTGCCTGGTTTCTTGGAGGAAAGCCTCTCTCTAGGTTATGTTCTTTTCACCTCCACACATCTGTTTCTCATCAATGTTCTGCCATGTGCTGTAAAATCTATAAAAGATGTGATAACTTTTTACACGTGGCACGTTCACAAACTCTGTTGGGATGTAGGCCGAACATTTCGCCACTGTTTGCCTTCAGATAAACATACAAAGACAAGACCGATCTTCTTTAAAGTTACTGACACAGTTTCTTACTCCTTTGATAATTAATGTTATATCAGACCTTGTTGGTTCGACCAGGCGCTGACCACTGACTAGTTCATAGTCACAGTGGTACTCTCAAGAGACTTCCAGAGACTACAGCCCCAACATGGTTACTCACAGAGTTGGGCAATGGGCAAAAGTCTTGCTGATTCACAGAATAACGGCTCTGTGGTCCTCCTTGGGCATTGCCCCTTGGTTCTCTTCTATCTACTTGTTATCACGTCTTCTGCAATGAGATTAAGCACCATTTTGTTCTGCCTTTTTCCTTAAATACTCTTCTGCTCAGTGAGGAGGTACATTTTCTAGGGAACTTCTCAACCTTAAATAACTGCTGGTAACATGTAATCAGTCACAGAGACTAAAGCAAATAGGTATTCAAAGTTTCAAACATTAGGTCCGTATTCATGTTACATATACCACAGATGATTCTATTTTGATCTATTTCACAATGTCTTAACATAAAAATCTTAATTATTCTTTAGTTATGAGGTTTCTTTAAAAATGTTTGGCAGGGAATCAAGCATGACCTCACTTCATTGCTGCAGATATTGAAACTTTTAAGGAAGTCTTCCTAAAGATAATTTAACTTCCTGTTTCTTTCTCCCTCTGTGTTCTGGACCCTGCAGGAGGAGGACTTTAAGGAGATGTTGAACTCTGCTGAGGTGATGGAGAGTCATTACGGTCATCTGTTTGAGAAGGTCATAGTGAACGATGACCTCACGACGGCGTTCAAGGAGCTGCAGTTGGCGCTGAAGCAAGTGGAGACGGAGACTCACTGGGTTCCAGTCAGCTGGACTCACTCCTGAGACCCACACTGACTGGGAAAGGTGGAAAGGGAAGGGCTACAAAAAACAATGGACATTTTAAGTCTCTTTTAGTTCAACTGAGACTGATACCTGGTGTCTGATGAGGAATAAACAAGACAGCACAGATTGGTGCTGATGGACCTGAGCCTTATCAAGCTAAAACTGATCTTTTAACTTTGGGTCAAGTTGGATTCAGAACTCAGCTGCTTGTCTGGTTAGATAAAGCCTGAGGGTTTACCGCTTCTGTCTTAATGTGGCTCAGGAAGCATATCTGGATCACACATCACCGGCCTGGAATGTTGAACAATCTGGACCTTCATAGAACGAGCAGTTCCTCCTGCATAAGAAAACCAGGACTCCATCTTTAGGGTGTTTAAAACATTAAACTTGTAGAAAACCAAAGGGAAGAATGTTTTTCTGTTTGGTGGACTGTTTAGAACTGATGTCAGTAAAATAACTTTGAGGGGAAACGGAGAGAAAGAAACAAGCAAACATGTCTTCTGTCTTATTTCTGTGCTTCTAAAGAGCTTCAGTGACTGTTGGTCCAAATGGAAACACTGCAGCTACTCTCTCTAAAAATGGCAACAACTGTCATTTTATTTAAAAGGAAATTAATATATTTTCTATAAACTTTTAGTTCTTTTTAAAATACTTTCTATGAAAATGTTTCACTTTAAGGGAAACTTGGTTTCAGCTGTAGCCCCTCTTACTTACTAACAGCAGAAACATCTCTTCGTTCATTTAGGTGTTTAGATTTGATTTTTCCAGCCTGGTTTTCTCCTACAAAGCTTCTCAAGAGTTTTTTTATTTAGCTGTTGTATGTTCCATCCTGGAGCTGTTTGAATCAGTCCAGCAGACCAGCTTTGTCATTTATAGAACTGAGCACATTAGTCTTTAACAAAAAGTTTCACTATTGTGTTTTATTAGGGTGGAGTTTTTATTTTTATTCATATAAACATGGTTTCAGTGAGGCTGCTAACTTCAGGACCTTCAGGAAGTAGCTGCTCTGGATTTAATGAGCATTACAGGTGTATTACTAGAGTCACTCAGTCTTACTGACTCATACTTAGTTTTTGTCCACTTCTTTCTAATGTATGTATCAAAGAAACACTTTCATTTCTTCTGAACAGGTTTCTTAATTAAAAGTTTCCTCCTCGACTGGTTTTGTTTAGTTGATGTAATTTTCATGTAAACAGACCAACAGTTTCCATGACGGTGGGCCCTCACCCACAGCTGTCCACAACTCCTATGATAAATTATTTAAATGATTGATCAGTGCTTCCAGAGTTTATTACTCCATCTTGTCTTTACCTTTATGACACCTGCTCTATAGAATCAGATTTGTAGTTTATACAAGAGAGGTTTTGATTCCTTTATGTAAATTATGGTGTTAATCAGGCAAGTTGTATGAAATTTAAGTAGATTTCTTATTAAAGAAAATGAAACATCTCTTCTAATGTTGTGTTAATTTCTGTTTAAAAAGCTCCTGAGGATCTGTTAGGAGGAAAAGAATTAAAAAGGATTCCTGTGGTTCAGTTATTCGTCCCTCTGAGTGTCACTGGAATCTATTTCAGAGAACAAAATATTCCAGTTCATACATTTCATCTTGTAAATGAGATCACTAGAGAGCAGTCAGTCATTCAATACATACTTTCCTTACTTGCATACTATCCCAGCTGAATTTAAAAACTTTGTCTACATTCCAACTACTGTTGATTTATGAATCCTTTTGGTTTATAGCATTGTAGTGGAGCTCTCTGGGGCTGGATCTCCTCAACTTTACCTAAAACGTAAACTGTAGACTTGATGCCTCAACAGAAACCAGCAATAATTATGGATCAAATGTATGAAATCACTTTCCTATAAGAATATAAAGCATCTCTATTTACTCACATGAGTAATTACTCTGGGTTGGTAATCTGGACCAGTGAAAAACAGTGGATCTGATGTGATCGGGTGTCCATATTTACAGTATGTTGATGGGGCTCTGTGGTCAGAACCAGCTAGATAGGAAGGTCTAATGTTCACTAAGATAGATGTCCTCTTAGTGGTTCTCAGTAAGTTCTAAGTGACCTAGTGGTTTATGGTTTGAGTACCAGAGGTCAGTGGTCCTGAGTGAGTTCTAAGTGACCCTCAGGGGTTCTAAGACCTTAGTGACCCTCAGTGGTTCTGAGTGAGTTCTAAGTGACCCTCAGTGGTTCTGAGTAAGACCTTAGT